GTTGCGGCCAAAATGTTTGCCGGCTTCACCCGAAAATTCTGTGATGATGGTGTCCTTCGGGCTACCCTGCGGCAACTTGCCGGCAAGTACAGCTCCAATCTGCTGGATCGCCTCAGTCAGCCAGCTCACAGAGCAGACGTGTTCCGCTACGTCTACCACTACCAGCACGGCGGCCTCTATGTCGATATCAAATGTGGCTTTGTGGTACCCTGGGAACAGGTACTCAAGCTTCTAGCAGCAGATTGGAGCACAGCTCACTCAACGAAGGCAGGTGAAGTGGGTCACAGACCCTCCCCACCTGGCCAACTCCCAAATGAGTTCATGGTCATGGCCATTGGAGTCAAAGGAGATCACATCTTTCAAGGCATCATCTATGGCAAGCCCAGACACCCTTTGATGAGGGAAGCCATACAGCACGCCTTCAGCCGTCAGGTTATGACAGCGAAGGCGAACTTGGAATACATGACCTTCTGCAAATTTCTCTGGCAGATCTTGGGTCGAGACCTTGGACACTCCCCCCAAGCGGGATGGAATGTTTCCACCAAATTTGGCCCCATCTACCTGTTCTTGGAGCGCTGGGACAAGCGACTGAAGAACAAAAAGTACGACAATGATGGCCACTACTTCGTGACTACCAACAACACGACAGTCGCCTACACCAGGTGCTGGAAGTGGCTGAAGGGATTTCAGGGAGACCCCACCACCAAAGAACGAACCGATCGCATGCTGCAGAGCCAGCTCCCCGACATCTCCCTGGAAATCCAGTCTGATAGACCCGAAGAGCACAGCTCACCACAGCCACTTAGGTCACAGACCACGGCAACCGCCATATCGGCTCCTCCTCCTCCCACTCAGGAGGATATTGAAACTTATGTAGCCGATAGCATCCAGCACAACTCCTTTGCAGAGATCATGGCCACGGTCCGTGAGACCCACCACTATAACCAAGACCTTACAGAGCAGGATGTGCTGGAGCTCATCCCTCGCGGATTGGGGCAAGTGGAAGTTTCAGGAGACATGTGGCTATGCTGTTTGCACTGCCGGAAGCACAACAGGCAGGTGCAATTCAGTACTAGTCACGGCCTCAAAAACCACTTTGTCACGCAGAAGCATAACCCGACACCCAGCGCCATGCCGGCATCCCAGACACCTCTTCCTCCCCCTCCCCCAAAGCTCCCACAGGAGATTCCTCTCCCCCCCAGCAGTACCAGGACCAGAGGTACAGACAAAGCAGCCGGCTTTGAGCTGCCGCCTTCCCCCCCGTGCCCTTTCACTTCCTCAGCAGCTGAAAAGGCAGCTTTCAAAGCAAGCCAAGCAGAAACACCGAAGGCGGCCCCAGCGCTTCCGGCTAAGGCCCCACCAACGGTGCCCACCCCTTGCCCTCAGCCTCCAACTTCCTCCTCGGCAGCTCCAGCTCCCCCTCCGGCGATCCCTGTTTCCCCGATCCCTCCGCACCCTCCCAAGTCAGTTTCTCCTTCAGCCCCTGCCACCCAGGCCGCTCCGCGTTCCCACACGCCCCCTCCTCCTTCTTCCCGCCCCCCGTCAGCATATGAGCCTCCGGAATCCAATGCGGAACTCGTCGGCTATGTCCCACAGCCGGCTCCACAACAGACAGTACGCTACACGCGGCAGGAGCTGGCTCAGCTGCTGAGCTCCCAGTCCCACCAGGACTGGATTCGGGCCTTGGCTTCCATCAACATCCTGGTGGCTCCGGTCATTCTTGGCGGCCTCACCAACCATGAGCAACAGACCCTTTGGTCTACCAGGATGGAAGCACTCCGTGAAGTTCCCCCGCTGTTCTCTGCCATCAAGTCGGTTAGGACGCAAACAGGCCTCACATGGGACACCGCCATGTCGGTGAGGCGGGTCCTCACCAGTGATGGGAAGGTCACCATAGCCACAGGCGCGGGAGACGCCTATCGCGAGCTGGATGCCCCCACAAAGGTGCATGGCCTTATCCATGCCTGCTTCAACAAGATGTGGGACGAAAAGGCCTTTCAGCAGCACTTCCCCTCGTGGGTCGAGTTCAACATGATCGCCACCACCATCGTGGCCGTCTACAATGAGACGGCCAAATCAGCCGGACTCCCAGCTCGTGTCTTTAGGGTCAAACCCGACAAAAATGCCTACTCCATCATGAAGATGCGGATCCAGCACGACAAGGGGCACGAGGAGGACAAGCGCATGGCCAAACTGGCTGCTGCTGCCCCCAACAAGCGCCCACAGATGCAGGCGGCTGACACAGAAGGCAAGCGACAGCGTGACGGCCCCTCCTCATCTTCCTCGTCCCAGTGGGCCAGACAGGCACGCTCATCTCAAGATGACGACTGGGACTGGTGGCAGCAGTGGTCCTGGCACAGTTACTCTCAGCAGTGGCCAAAAGGTCATGACCAGTGAGGGCAGGAATATGTCACAGACTCTTTGATCCCTTATGTCACAGACTCAGGGAATTCGGCACTCTTCCGAAGCTTAGCAAATCTCTTCGGAAGCCTGTGACCCGCGTGCTTACCTCGACTAAAACAGCACTTCGCTCTTCAGCGAGTTGCTACGTCCAACCTGCCCAAAGCCTCACTCCACCGGAGTTGTTTTCAGGTACATGCAGTCATGAGCAAAACACCCTTACGGCCTTCTGTCCTCAACATGAGTAATCCGTGTGGGTCGCCACGAGACGGATACTCCAGGTGTCGGCTTCGTCCGAGGTACGGCCTAATTGTTGAGACAGGTGCACAGACGGACGCGTCTGCTCACACCAAGGTGTCGGAGGAGGAAGCTTTTGTAGCAGTAGTCTGTCAAGTTTGAGCTGATTAGAGAGATCTGAGCGATGCATGCTAGAAGCAGTTTCACGAGTGCACGAGACCAAAGGCGCCCGCAAAGCGCAGAGCACGCTCGCGCAGCGTTCAATTGAAAAATAGTAATAGTAGTAATAGTAGTAGTAGTAGTAGTAGCAGTAGTAGTAATAGTAGTAGTCGTAGTAGTAGTAGTAGTAGTAGTAGTAGTAGTAGTAGTAGTAGTAGTCTGCCTTCCTTCCTTGCTGCCTTGCTTCCTTCCTTGCTTCCTGCCTTCATTCCTTCCTATCTTCCTTTATTCCTTCCTGCCTTCCTTCCTGTCTGCCTGCCTGCCTGCCTTCCTAAATAGTTATAGTAATAGTAATAGTAATAGTAATAGTAATAATAGTAGTAGTAGTAGTAGCAGTAGCAGTAGTAGTAGTACGAGTAGTAGTAGTACTAGTAGTAGTAGTAGCAGAAGTAGTAGTAGTAGTAGTAGTAGTAGTAATAGTAGTAGTAGTAGCAGTAGTAATAGTAGTAGTAGTAGTAGTAGTAGTAGTAGTAGTAGTAGTAGTAGTAGTAGTAGTAGTAGTAGTAGTAGTCTGCCTTCCTTCCTTGCTGCCTTGCTTCCTTCCTTGCTTCCTGCCTTCATTCCTTCCTATCTTCCTTTCTTCCTTCCTGCCTTCCTTCCTGTCTGCCTGCCTGCCTGCCTTCCTTCCTTGCTGCCTTGCTTCCTTCCTTGCTTCCTGCCTTCCTTCCTTCCTTCCTCGCCCTTTCTCCCCGCCTTCCTTCCTTCCTTCCTTCCTGCCTTCCCTCCTGCCATCCTTCCTTGCTGCCTTTCTTCCTGCCTTCCCTCCTTCCTTCCTTCCTTCCTGTCGTGCTTCCTTTAATAAGGGAAAGTTTTTTTTGATTGGAAAAAAGTTTTTTTTTGATTGAAAAAAGTTTTTTTTGATTGGAAAAAAGTTTTTTTTGATTGGCATCCCTAAACCCTCAACCATAAACCCTGAACCCTCAACCCTAAATCCCTCAACCCTGAACCCCCAAACCCTTAAACCCCTTAACCCTACACTCGGCCCGGACCCCCGAAAACTCGAAACGCTCTACACCTTCAAGTCGTTATGTCCTGAATCGCGTGGGTTTTAGGGTTTAGGGATTTGGAGACTTAGGGGTTCGAAGCCTTCCATCATAGCAGCAACAAAAGGAAATCCGGAAGTTTACCGTCTCGAAAGGCTTGGAAATGCAGCAGTTCGGTCATATCGACGCCTTGTTTATGAGAATTTGAATAGTATACAAGAGTGTTGTGTTTATAGAGGAACTTTAGCATGATTATATCAAGGAGCCTAGGGAATTGTATTCCCGAATATGCAGAAACCAATGTCCCTCGTGGCTGAAGGGCTCCTCGGACAAAATCTCGGGTTCTCTCAGGGATTTACGGCTACGGTATTGAGGCTGAGGGCTGAGGATGCAACCGCTCTCTTGCTTGACACCCTGTACTTACTCCTCGTCCTAAACCCGAAATCCTAAGCTCACAAGCCCCAAATGCTAAACCTGCACAAGAACCCAACGCGCCAAAGTCAAGCCTGGGGAACCCTCACACCGCGAAGGCCCGCAGCCTTGAAAAGAAACGATAACCGACTAAAGCCCTTGAAGCCCACGCCCTAAACTCCCTAACCCTCCAAGCCTTTATGCAACTCCTTCAAACTTCCCAGAACACAGCCACCGTCAGCCTGAAAACCACAAGCCCAAACCCCTACAAATCCCTTGAAAGCAAGCATTCGACATTCTGGAGCCTCTGAACAAAACAGGTCCCTCAGCTCTAAACACAGAGCCCAAACACGCCAGACCTGTGACCTAAGTCAGTCTGTACTCTCTGCGAACTTCTGATATCCAGCAAACAATCGCATAAAGCCAAAACAAGTTGTAACACAGCTACAAAGCAGACTGGCAAGCAAGACTGCCCAACTTCTACGAGCCCGAATCGAACACTGCAAAGCACAAGCCAACCGTATAAACTCACCTACTCTTCCAGACCCAAACGCTAAATCCAAACACTAGTTCTAAAGGCTACAGGGGCAATTCGAATAGGGCTTTGGGCTCCAAGAAGGTACCCCCAAAATCGTATAAGTAATTGTTTAAGGCCCCCTATATAGTAGAACCCTTATAATAGACCCCTTGTAGTAACCCTTTAAAGGAACCCTTTAGGCCCCCATATTTTTGTCCTACTGAGGGCCAGACGAGGCTTCCTTTCCGCCAGCTGTTCCTCAGCTCTGAGGCTTTGCCGGGGCCGGCCGAGAGTTCAGGGTTTACAGGGAACTCCAGAAAGTTGGAATATGGTTTCAGGGTAGGATACCCTCTAATTTACCATAAAGGGTTTAGGATAATCATATTCCAACTTTCTGGCTTTTACTTTAGAGGGTTTAGGGTTTAGGGGTGTAGGGCTTAGGGGGCTTAGGGTTTAGGGTTTAGGGTTCTCGGACAATCCAGGCGAGTTAGGGGTTAGGGGTTAGAAGGGTTTAGGGGTTAGGGGGGGGTTTAGGGGTTAGGGTTCAAGGGTGAGCAGCCTCAACACGGCCCTGGTGAGCCCAAAAAGGAGGATTGACAATCATATGTAAACACCAACATGATACACCATTTTCTTCTATGCTCATGTGGCGATTATTTTCAGCAGTGGCCGTCGCCGTTGTCGTCGTGGTAGCGGCGGTGTTGCTCTTATCGTTGCCGCTGCTGTTGCTACTGAGTTTGAAAGCACGACTTTCACACGATGTTGAACATGGGCGTGGTCGGCCTGTTAGGCGGCCAGTATGATACAAGGGAGCTGCGCAGAAACGCTTGAGCGCTAGCGCCTAGTATGTAGGGTTTAGTGCCGAGGGTTGCAGGGGAGCCTTAATTGTAAGGACCTTGGATTCTGCTCCTCCTGGCAACTAAGTGCAACTTCACCAACGGTCGGCAGTGGTATAGAGTTCTGCATCACCGATATACCCTGAACTGTGAAACTCGCTGAATTTCCTGACGACGGAGAACGGATTACTCCAAGCTACTTATTCCTCATTGTGGATCATGCACGTCTTGTGAAAGGTGGCTTGGGTCCCGTATGCCTTAGATCTTACGAAAGGGCTCTGATGCTGGCTTGGGTCAGTTCGGAATCTGGACCTTACCTGAAGGATCACGAGGAGGGTTGAAGGTTGTGGGCTTCGGGCTGTGCCTTTCGGCGGCTGCAGTCTTAGATGATGGCTTGATGCGGAGTGGTCTGCACTGGCATGAGGCCCTACTTGGAGGTTCATGGGTAGTTTCTGTAACTGTACTTATAACCACATTGGGGGACTTATAATCCCTCTTATAACTACCCATGAACCTCGAAGTAGGCCCTAAACCCTATACCCTTATAGAATCCCTATAGATCCCTTCAAAGGGACCCTTAAAGGAAGCCTTACAACTACCCATGAACCTCCAAGTAAACCCTAAACCGGATATGAAAGGCCTGGAAGCCCTTCTGAGGCAACCACAGCAGTGGCTCCTTGCATTACGGTTGATGATATAAATCCTGCATTACCTTAAGGACCCTAGACTATGGGAATTATGGCATATTCCTTGTTATGGGTAATGCGGGATTTATGTCATCAACAGTATGACCTGAAACCTTGTACCGTCAGACCAAACCAAAACATAAATTTTTGACCCCCCACATGGTCCCACCGTAAACGTTGAATCGTAGACCCACCCAACCTTAAACCCGAAACACCAAACCGCTGAAACCCATCCCACTCAGCACCCTCCGCAAAACTCAACAACCTCGGAACCCCCAAAAAGTCTCTAAACCAAACCCGCAAAGACGCAACAAAACCTCCACTGGACCCTAAACACTAGACCCCGAAACCCTAAACCCTCACAGGAACCCGCAGAACGTAGCCCAGCGTCCCCGAAGCGACGGTTGATGGACGCCAGAAAATCCTCGGACATGTTGTTTTAGGATTCTTTATCAGGGGTTTAGGATTTAGGGTAGTGCATCGTGACTAAGGTTCTTTAGACAAGGGTGGTAGCAACTCGAGGCTGTTGTCTTCGAAACTGCTATTGTCACCCTAAGTCTGGCATTCCTGCTGTTACTGCTTTGTAATTATTGGGTCCGACTGTCAAAGGTTTCGACTAGGTTCTAGGCGTTGACGTTTAGTACTTCCAGTTTCCTAGAGGAATTAAAGGCTACCCTTTTGGCAATGTATGGGATTTCCACCATGTCCTCCGAAGATTGTTCGTAACGTACGTCAGTGTTTTTGGTAATCCCTATAAGCTGTTGGCCGATTGGAGGCTTCTCGACATGAAGCTCCAAGAAAAGATCATGCATCGTGGGACCCATAACTTCTCAAGCCACAATTTGCAAACCCCCTCCCCCCGTCTACTGGTCTAGAGGCTTCCGGGTAATATTCCCTAAGGGTCCATGTATTGACATAGTATATACATTGGCCTTAATGTAGTCCCTATATAGGTACTTCGGGGCTCATGTATCTCTATATGTTATGGGTACAGGGACCCTTCGGGATTAGACGACAGTTATCTGAGTTATAGGGGCGCTGCAGGGGGGTAGTGCTACAAACTGGCCTGGTTTAGCAAAGGAATGGTCATCTAGCACCAGCTCGCAATCAACAAGAACAGAGCTTTTTGGGGTTTGGGGCTTGAAGCTTAAAGATCAAGGGTTTGGGGTTATGGTATTCATGTGGCTTAAACTGCCTAGGATAAAGCTTAAGGTTTACCTGAATGCCCTTGCTTTCAAGTCATCCTCCCATCAAACAGCAAACAACTACGGGCGGCAATTCAATTGCAATATACCTACCACAAGCATTAAAGGGGCGCGATGACAGCAGTCATCCAAAAAACAACATTGGTCAACATCATAGTATTCATGACACAAAGGACCCTAAGCCCTGTGGGCGCCCGGCGCTGATCTTCACCTCTTTCAGGTCTGCCTTTGCTGTGAAGGACCTAGACATGGCGAAGGATTTGCTTGTAGGCTGTTGGGTACTCTTTCAAGAGGTCTACAAGGATTCCTTTAAGGGCTCCTATAGTATAGGAGCCCTTAAAGGAATCCTTGTAGATCTCTTTAAAGAGTAGTCCTATAGGGGATCCATACAGGGTTCAGGGTTCAGGGCTTGGGAGTTTCTCTTAGGATCTTTGTTTCACCGGCCGTCGGGTTTTGCTTTGTGTTGGGGGCGTGATGCGGATGTTTACGGGTTTCCGAAGTTGAAGAAGGCTATCCTGAGTTGTCCTTTAAGGCCTTTGAAAACTATTTACGATTATGGTTCTCCACAAAAAAATAGTAGTGGAACTTTAGAAAGATCCCCAAGGACAACCCAGTCTTATGGTTTGATATGGTGTTGCCTCATGGGGGGGGGGTGACCCCAGGCTCCCAACGTAAATCCGATTGAATTGGGTTGGGTACCCAGCTTCCTTGTTGCGGAGCCCTAAATATCTGTTAGAATCAATCATCTTGAATGCGTTGTGGGCTTGCCCCCCTTTCGGCAAAATCCACACGTCCCCATAAGTCTATTAGAGTCAGAGGTACTCCAAGGCCCTTCCAACGGAGCTTACAACCACACGTTGAATTACCCGTGACCTCCAGGGCGCTGTTGCCTACGACAAGGATTTCGGGCTTTTGGTGACGGGTTTCGGGTTTGCTTGTATACAAATACGGCATGACTCAAACATGACTGCTGCGAACTAGTCGTCCAATTGTCACCGACAGATGCAGATTTCAGAAAGCCGGGGAGCATTGTGGGGAGAGGGGCATGACAAGATGGAAATGCTCTATGTCCCCAGACTGTATGGGAACCTGGTTCTTAGGGTAGGCTACTCTCGCCGAACAGGGGTTCTTATACAGGGTTTTCACTGTATTATAGGCTTATCTTTATAAGCTTTCGGGAAAAGGGCTTCGTTATATCTCAAAGATGTCATTTTTGAAGTTCACGTCCAAAATCCTGGGTCGTAAAGCCTTCGATGCTAAACGGTATAGAAATGGCTGGCATGGCAGGGCAACCCTTCTGAGACCTTGCCAAACCCTAACCCTCAAGGAAGGAGGGCATAAGAACCCGTGCACTGACAACCGGCATAAAGCCGCCCCCGACACTGCATTAAGTCTGTCACAGGAATCTCAGAAAAGTGTGGCAACCCATTTCAAAAGGGGCCTTTGTATGGTCAATAAGCTTTCCTGTGATATTGTAGTAAACTTACATGCGGAGTATAAGCGTACATCATTTGCTGAGTCCTCCTTGTTCGAGGGTTTCTCGAGCTGTAAGCACCAGGACCCTCCTTGTACCCTCAAATAGGGGTAAAGAAAGCCTTCCCAAAGACTTTGCAAACTCCAAGCACTGAGCTCCAAACCCCTTTCTTGAACCTTTAAATGGGTTCCTTCCGTTTATCCTTTAAGGGTTCCCTTTAAGGGATCCTTTAAGGGTTCCGTTTAAGGGATCCTTTAAGGGTTCCCTTTAAGGGATCCTTTAAGGGTTCCCTTTAAGGGATCCTTTAAGGGTTCCTGTTTAAGGAATCCTTTAAGGGGTTCCCTTTAAGGGATCCTTTAAGGGTTCCCTATAAGGGTTCCCTTTAAGGGATCCTTTAAGGGTTCCTGTTTAAGGAATCCTTTAAGGGGTTCCCTTTAAGGGATCCTTTAAGGGTTCCCTATAAGGGTTCCCTTTAAGGGATCCTTTAAGGGTTCCTGTTTAAGGAATCCTTTAAGGGGTTCCCTTTAAGGGATCCTTTAAGGGTTCCCTATAAGGGTTCCCTTTAAGGGATCCTTTAAGGGTTCCTGTTTAAGGAATCCTTTAAGGGGTTCCCTTTAAGGGATCCTTTAAGGGTTCCCTATAAGGGTTCCCTTTAAGGGATCCTTTAAGGGTTCAGTATAAGGGTTCCTTAAAGGAGCTCCTTTGGCCATTGCTAGACCCTAAACCCTAAATCCCTGAACCCCGAACCCTCCTAGGGATGCCTTGTAGAACCCTTCAATCCAAGGGAAAAAGGAGGGACCCTTAATAAGGACCCCTAGGTATATACCCTTAATATAGCTATTATTATATACCCGTTTTATAGCCCATTATAGGGTACGTAGGGGTACCCATTAAGGGTCCCTCCTTTTCCCCCTTGATTCAAGGGAACCCCAACGAGACCCTACTAAATCCCTGAACCCTTTCTCTCCACATCCTAAAGGCCCTACAGTAAACCCCATAAAGTTGGAAACCGGATTAAGGCCAAATAGAGCTGGGATTCCCTATACATGACTCCTAAGTCCTAAGGATAGAGGCTATTGGGTTTCCAACTTTTGGGCTTCTACTGTAAACTCCAGACAGCAGACACACCAGAATTCAGGGTTCTCAAGGGCCCCTACTCGGCGAACTTCTTGAACTTCAGGTCCGTCATGTCCACCACCTCGCGACTCAAACGAGGGTGCGAAACCAGGTCCATCAATTACAGCTTCAGGGGGAGTCTACAGGGTTTGGCATGGCTTTCTAAGGGTTTTAGAGTAGTAGGAGTAGTAGTAGTCGTCATCGTACTAGTAGCAGTAGTAATAATGGCTTTAGTAGCAGCCACGATTTCGGGCTTGGGCTTCACTGCCATTGGAGGGCCTCGAGGCACCGTCGCGCTTGGGACTGGCTGTTTGAAGAAGCTGTCGTGTCTGGTTAAGCTTTCGGGTTGTGGGGTTTTGGCCTTTTGGGGTTTTGGGTGTTGGAGTTTAGTTCTTTAGGGTTTCCTGGTTTAAAGTTTGAGGGTGTTTTTGTTGCCTGCATTTTGGCTGCCGCATCGCAAGCCGAGGCACGCACGGCAGGTCTCTGCCGGTGCCGCACGTAGGTTCAGCATGCAAGGAATGTTCAAGCATACTCCCAGTGAAACTCGGATACTTTCCAGTTCACCATTGCGCCACTCGCTATCAAGGAGAAACACCACGAAGCATTCACGGACGTCTTTGTGCGCACAAAGAGTGCAAGATAAACTGAACAAGTATTCTGCTGTACTAAGAACTGCTATACGAGCTCCTCTACCAAACCATAAGCCAGCAGAAGCCAAGCGCACCTGAGGATGCTTGAAGACGTAGTGCTGCAAAGCAGGTGCATCCAAGGTGATCATCCACTTGGACACCTTGACGGATGGGGACTGACCCAAGGGTACCGGTGAGTGGCTCGTAGCGTCTGGGAGTGTAGGCCTATCGTGTTTATAGTGCTGGGGGCTTTTGGTTGCAGTCGGTGTTGCTTTGAAAACAACAACTTTGATTTGGGGTGTCTATATCGATACGGAGGTCACTGTCACAAGATGGAGGATTACTACAAGGTTGGTGGTCAGAGCGTAGGTTTAGTATTTCGGGAGCTCAGCATTTCGACTCTTGAAACTCTGAGCTCCTCCTACAAATCGCTACAAGAAGACACACATCGTCTCCTTTGTAGCTCTTTGGCTTCGCCAGGGCCAAGTTCTCATATTTAGGATCCTTTAGGGTGGCCCTGAACAAAAACTATGATGGAGACTATAGATATATGGGAGTTTCCGAAAAGAGGGGGTACCTTATTTGGGGGTTCCTTATAATGAGGATCCTATTATTTAGGGTGCTGTATTAGAGTCCCCTGTTTTCGGAAACTCCCATATGCTTATGTTATAACACATGGCCCTTCCTCGCGCAGCATCGTAGTCTTGCCTTTGCACCGTGCCCGGGCTTCACCGTGAAGTACATTCGTCCCTGAGCTGTTCTTGGGCCTTGAAGTTCGGGCGCTGGCAGCAGTAGGCACGAGGCTCATTCATGCAGCAAAAGCCGTAGGTTTAATTCAGGCAATTCCTTGCATACTGGCCCCTACACTGGACTTGGTCGCCGACGGGTCCGGCATAAGCGCGCTGCACCTGCAATGATTGCTGCAAGGACTCGCCAAAACTAAGCCGCGCTCATGCTCAACAGAAAGCGAGGACAACCTCAACTTGGGTACGGACCCCATACGGTAACAGTCTATAATAGGGCGACTATTAAGGGCCTACTATATCTAGATTATGAATATTATCCAACTGTTACTGAGAGGGGGCAGTACCAAGGCCTAAACCCTCAAACACCCTTGCAACTCCATGACCAACACAAGGAATGGAGAAATCCCTGCCTAGGGCATCAAGTCCTCTTTCAAATCTCGAAAACCTCAGAGCCAGAACCGGAACCTCCAGCCTAAACCCAAACCGAGCCAATATGAGGCTCCAGAGAGGCACATAAGCAAAACTGAGATAGGGATATGAATAACCCCTTATAAAGAAGCCCAACCATGGTAGGATATTCCATCCAGATGCTTGTAGTTATGTCCCTCTCGGGGGCCATACATTACCCGGAACCCACAAACTTGAGATTCTCTGGGCCACGCACTGCATGTCCGGCGGCCACAATTGCACCCTTAGCTAGCGCAGGGTTTAGGGTTTTGGGTGTCGGTTGCACTAAGCCACTAAGCCCTATAAGCCCTAACCCTAAACCCTAAACCTAAACCCTACACCTCGACCTAAACTGACATGATGAGATTAAACCAGCATTCGTGTGAAGGGATGTGCTGGGGGGACAGTCAACAGAATCGGAAGCGACATCTTGCATAGGCGTGCTTCGACATCCAACTTCAGGGAAGTGTTTGCAGGCGCAACACTCTCAGGCACGACCCATGTTGGTGGCCGCAGGTCGACTCAATATTGAATCAATTGAACGAGCTTCACAATCACAGCCGTCTCGCATCCCCCGCCACTTAGAAGCACTCGACTAGCACACTGCCGGCTTTCAAGCATGAGGTACACTCACTATACTCCAATGAACTAGGTGTAATACGACAGTATTCGAACTATCTGCGTGGGCCTCCGGGTGAGGTTCCCGGCTCAGCTGGACACCCCAATTCCTTATGGTAATCTCTTCCGAGAATATCATACTCAGGGCGTTTTTGGTTTCATCCAACTACTGAATAGGTAAGATATAGGACGGGGAGACATATCACAACACATAAGTGTCAAAAACCAAGAGCCTATAGCTAAGGGTTCAGGCCTCTACATGACAGAGTATCCCCCCATCGACTTGCCTCGGAGAAAAGCTTTCGAAGCTCAATACACTCCCAGCTCTGCGATCTGCATCAAACCCTTAATATCGGGGCCTAAGTAATTACCGATACTACTTTTAGAATTAACTCCAGCAAGCCCTTCTTTTCTTGTAGGCTCTTATTGAAAACCCGAATGCAGAATATATAGGGATCAAACAGGAAAAGCAGGTTTTGGTGTGTTAAGGTACCTGGACCCCAAAAGTATGTAGAATAATGGCCTTTTATAGGTTTTGGGCCATTATTTTACCTACTTTGGGGGCCTAGGTAGACCCTCCAGTAGCCTGCGCGAGGCCTCAGGTCCCCGGAGCCCTTCTCCGCTCGCGAGAAAGTCGAAGTGACTAGGTCAACGCCTACATGCCCTTTAGGAGTTTAGGGTTCAGGGATTTGAGGGTTTAGGGTTTAGGAGTTTAGGGTTCAGGGATTTGAAATTTCGTCAGGCTGTTGCTGAAATCCTCGGGCTTTATAGGACCTTTTGAGATTTCAGGCATTTCCATACAAGCCTTTTTTCAAGCATGCTGTATGGGCCTTGTTCAGGCCACGAGCCCTGCGGCCTTGTAACCCATGTGAGGGTGCAAGTGAAGCTCATCATACGCCACGAAGCTGCCAAACAACTACAAGACCCCAAACAAGACACGGATTAGACCTTCACATACCCTAGACCTCGAGCATGCAGAAGCCTGCAACCATTTGATTCCAAGACATTGTCCCGAATCCCTACCCTAAACCATCAGAGTCCAAAGCCGTACAAGGCCCTTTTCGAAGCCTTGTGGCATAAATCCCAATTGCTACAAACACTCAACACCCGAACCTTGAACCTGACTTCACACTGTTGATCTTTGGTTTAGGGTTTGGGTGCCTACGGTTGTAAACCTCCTCGAAACCGTGTCCGAAATAGCCTTCTGCAAGTGGGAAGCCTTCTTTCCAACGAGCATTCCGTGACTTCACCCGGTGTAAACCCCGCACCTAGGACCTGTACTTTGACCCTAAACCCATCTTGAACCCGCACAGATCCATGAATTCAACCCCAGGCCTCTGTAGTCTCAGACCCTAAACCCCAAACCCGAAACCCTCGAGGCTCTCAAAGCCCTGAACCCCAAATCAAGCACCAACCGTTCTGCCCAGGCGAATTCAGAACCTGGTAAAGAACCCAGGTCCCGGAACCCCACATTCAAATCCGAACTGGACCCTAGGAATGAAAAGGATGCCCTTTCTGGTTTAAAGGGGGTTATAAGAAGACCTAGACCATAAAAAAGGGAATAAGGGCCTACTCTGGGTCCTAGCACATGTATAAACAGCCCAAATAAAAAGGACGCAGGGCTTCTTAACTCTCTCTCTCTCTCGCTCTCTCTGCAAAGCCTCCTACATTAAACCTAAACCCTAAACCCTAAGCCCCTGATTAAGAGCCCAGGTCAAACAACCCCAAAATTTTAGGATCCATATTTTAAACCATCAAAAGCCCTTGAGGCTCCTACATTAGGGTTATTTTTACGGCTTCTACAAAGGTTTTAGAAGAGCCCCCACAAACCCTGAACCCTAAAATCCTAAACCTCTCAACCCGTAAACCCCTAAACTCTAAACCCTAAAATCCTAAACCCCGAAACCCCTTTTCAGCATGGGCTTGGATTGTGTGCCAGCGAACACTCCTCAAAAGCAGGGCCTTCTCGTTTGACGAGCCCCTAAACTCTTAACCCCTAAACCCCTAAAACCCCTTTTTTTGCATCCAAGCCTCTTGAAGTCTTGCCGGGGAACGGCACTAAAACCCCTAAACGGTTTCTAAACTCCTAAGCCCCTAAAATCCCTAAACTCCTAAACCCCTAAAAATCCCTAAACTCCTAAAAACCCTAAACCCCTAATAGGCTTCCTTCCTGCATCCAAGGCTCGGGGGCTTCGTTCCCCGCCGGCTTCACCCCCAGAAACCTGGAGTAGGGTTTAGGGTTTAAGGCTCTGCGAGGTTTGCTTCTTTTGTAAAGTGCCGTGACGTGTCTTTTCACCTGCCTCAGGTTTGCTTTTTGGAAGTTTAGGGTTTATGGTTCTGGGGTTTAGGGTTTTGGGGTTTTAGGTTTAGGGGTTTAGGGCTTCAGGGGTTTAGGGTTTAGGATTTTAGGGTTCAGGGTTCCGGGTTTAGGGGCTCTTCTAGAACCTTTATAGAAGCCTTAAGAGTAACCCTACTCTCCCCCCTGGAGCCCTTCAAGGAAGCGCACTCAACCTCGGGAGAAATGGGCAATTCAAAGCTTCATGATGCACTGACGGTGTAACATGCCTCAAAGCCCTACTCAAGTCGTTAAGGCACCGATACTACAACAGGGTCATGCCAGGCTGCCAGCACTACCTATTTCATTGATCAGGGAACCCAGTAGGCTGCTATATCTGCTGAAAACTTAAGTTAAGCTACGTGCTTGTGACCCTCCTTACTGCGTGCCCTGAACCTCTACAGTATGTGCCCCCTCAGCACTAAACCCTAAACCTTACGGTAGAAGCCAGAAAGTTGGAATATGATTATCCTAACCCCTTTAAGGTAAAATATAGGGGATCCTACCATTAATCCATATTCCAACTTTCTGGAGTTCCCTTTAAACCCTAAACCCTAAACAGAAAACCCTACATCCCGACACCCCTGAAGCCGTCTGCGGATCCGGGCTGTGGAGTGCCAGGGATCTGCCCCGGTGTGGTCGGGATGGCGCCTAGCTTCCGAAGCAATAAAGTTGATCAGAACAGTTTAGGGTTTTGGGTTTAGGGTTTAGGGGTTTAGGGTTTAGGGTTTAGGGTTTTGGGTTTATGGGGTTTAACAGAAGAGGCGTTGGGGGTAGAGTATCTAGGCATGATACAGAACTTTATTCATAAGTTCCAGCCCCTATGGTAGCTTCTGAACGAATCCCTCTCTATAGAATATCGGGAAACAAAGGTCAAGCTAACATGAAATATTGTGACCGCTCTGCTGGAAGAGGGAACCGGAGGATTGGAGGTTTCAAGCATGTAGTGAGTCAAACCTCAAACCGCGTGCTGCACCTGTCGACAAGCCCCAATACCTACCCGGAGGCTCCACTATCCCTCAAAGAAAGGAAGATGCTATGAATTATGGTAGGGTGCCTCATATGGTTTAAGGCTATATGCCGTAATTAACGGATATTGGAGTCTTTGTGCGCTACTCCTAAACCTTAATATACCTAATCTCACTTCCTACCGAACCGTCAGGAAAGACTCTGATACGATGCTCTCTTGAATGTGCGCACGGGTCCAGAAAGGGGTTTCCTCGCCAGGTACCTATACCCACACCTAGACGCAAGTAACAATCCAAGCGCTTGGGGCGGGTGTGTAAATAGTGTAAGAATAGACCTCTTTTCTCACTATAACATCTTACAACGCTACTTAATAGGTCACTCTCTTCAACCTTTAAGCACCTTAAACCGTAAGCATGCTGAGATGGGTGTTCTCAGGGGGTCCAAGCACTCCTCAGCACAGGATTGTCTAAGGACTGCTTGGACATACTTGGACCCCTAGGGTTTGGGATCAACGAGCTCTTCTTGTATGTCTCTCACCCACACTAGAATAAAGGATATGCAATTTTCATAATAGGAACCATCCGGAACAATACTAGAAGACATTCAGCCTATACTCCGTAGGTGCTTTCAGTTAAAGCTTTCACGCAGCGCAGGTAAAGCACTGTTGCAAGGCTTAACGCCTATTAATGTCCGGAAAGCCAAATTAATTCAAAGCCATGCTCGTGTATCCCGGGTGCGCTGCATACGACGGAGTCAATCCATATGCATCGTGTTGCTCAAGCATGCATTTGGAGAAGTAGCAGCCGCTGAAGGAGGCAGGAACATCAGTCAGGGGCCCTTGTAGCCGAAACAAGCCCCAGCGCACCAACTTTGCCCCTAAGCCCTAAACCCTGCCCAAGCCAAGTGACAGTCGTGAGCAACAATCCGGCCTTCTTCGAGAAGTCTGGCAACTGCATTCGCGATCTCCTGAAATCAAAAGGGAAAAGGAGGGACCCTTAATGGGGACCTCCACCCTATAATGGGCTATATAGTGGGCTACATAATAGCTATAATTAAGGGTATATACCTAGGGGTCCTTACTAAGGGTCCCTCCTTTTACTTTTGGATGAAAGTCAAGGACAGTCGAACCCTAAGGCTCCATGTTTCTATGAAGTATATACTTTGTTCTTAAATGGATCCTACTTGTATGTAGGTACTTCAGAGCCTAACCATCATGGAATGTGTAGGTACATGGCGCCGCAGGGGATGCGATGATTCAACAATGATTTGCAAGTTGCAAACCCAATCTGATAAGCGCTGGGCACCAAGACCATCCAAGGCAGGGAATCTGGAGCCGTGTGCGTCTGGGGTACATGGGGGTTTGGCTCTGCCATGCTAGCAACGGAAACCCGTACCTAAACCCTATACCCTAAACCTGTTTTGCCCAAACCCTATGCCCTAGACCTAAATCCTATGTCCTGAACCCTATACCCTAAACCCTCTACGCTTAACCAAACCCTATAACCAAAACACCATACAAGATCACCAAAGATGTAAACCCAGTAGAAGGACCCTCACCCCCGGGAAGTGACCTCGAATCATCCTGGAGCGCTAAAGGGTTTATAAGCTTTGATTATATAAGGTCTATTTGTTTAGGTTTTGTTAAGGTTTATAGGGTTTAATACTGACTCTTAAAGAGGTTTACGGTTCGGTGTTGAATCTGTCGCTAAAATTTGCACATTCAAGTTTTTCAGTCTCAGGCTCATGATCCAACATCCCCAGCCACATGCCTGACAGACCTTTACGAGATGCCCCGAAAGTCGCAAAGCCTCAGATCCTCAAAAACAACTATCCCAAAGGGTCCAAGTATCATTATGGTATAGACTTAGACCCGCAAAATACCCTATAAGCATGTACCATAATGATACTTGGACCCTTTGGGTATGACGTCCTTCTGAGACACCCCAGGCTCTGATACTGCTCTTCAAACGCAGGGGGCGCTCAGTGTTTAGGGTATCCTTTAGAAGGGGCCCCCACCCTGTAAGTGGTAGAATAGGAATATAATAGGGCCCTAATATAATCCCCCTTATAGTCACTATTACAGGGTGGGGGCCCCATCTAAGGTATCCTCTAACTCAGGGCCCGGATTTATGGGTTCCCCATGACAGTCGCTTGGCTTCTGAGACTCTCCAAGAGTTGGATGGCTCAATTTTTGCCCCCGTTCTCAATAGAAGTGGAGGTCTTCATGTTTCGGTTGCAGGGTTTAAAAGCTTCGGGTCCAGTGCTAAGGGTTTAGGGACAACTTTCAGGCCTTCCAATTCCTACTTCTACGGCTTTCATGGACTTCAGGTTCACGGAGCTTGATGGGTTTTCGGATTTGCAGCTTTAGTAGGTGGACGCTTCGGAGGGGTCTGCTGCGTGGCTTACATGAAGAATTAAGCTTCAAGGGTGCAGGTTCAGTGCATCCTGCGCCTGAACAGCTAGTGTAGCAGGTGGCCACACCTTCGCAAAACGTTCCCACATGACATGGGCAGAAACTAGGCCGCGTCCTCCTGAGGCTTCTCTGCTTCGGTTGCCTTGACATCGGCCTGTCAGTGGGTTTTGGAGCATAGCAATGCAAACACCGGAGCCATGACAAAGACATCCAGGTCGTGAACCACATGAGTCGTTCTCTGACTTGGAATCCTTTTAGGGGCCCCCTATATAAGGCTGCACTCTTATAAGACGCATAATTTAAAAGGGGACCCCAATTCAGAGAACTACCCATATACTTGTGGCAATGCAGACCCCTGGAGGCAAACATTTGAGTTGCCCGGGCCTTCACCAGTTGCGCCTCCTGTACTTCGGGTGCTTTGGCTTCGGCCTGTCAGCTTTCCCAACCAAGCATCCCTACGTCTTGAAACTCTTCTCCTCCTGCCCCAAAACACTGGGAAGCCGTACGTGAGCAAGTCCAATTCTGTTCAGCCCCCATCCACAGCGGCTCAACGGGTAGGCTGCATGCCATTGCAGATGCCACAGGCAGCATTGCTTCCACCCGATCGCCATGACGAAGCAGAAGCACGACATTCTCCCCTATGCAAGCCTCACACGTGCCACACTTTGTCCGCCTTGATTGCTGCACTATCACTGCATGCAAGAGCGCCTCACGAGACACTTTGTACTAGTAGGAAGTATTCTATCACTCTGAGCAGGAGACCCCACGGCAAACCGGAGAAACCCCACTGCGGCCAAGTTGAACCCGGCCTCGACGAGCTGGGTCTGTGCTTCTGGTGGATTGGCTTCTGCCTGGCACTTGGCCCGGCCAGGGCCAGGAATTCCAGTGTCTTGACTGATTTCTCACGGCCCAAAAACTAAGAAAGCTATCTAGAGTGTTGCGTGTGCCAAAGCGACCACACTCAAGCCGAAACCCGGCTGGGGTTCTTACCAACTTCGAATCGTCTAGATAGGGCCTCGTTTCTGCCGTAAGACCAACGTCAACACAACTATGTGGATCGCATGCTGAAACAGATTCCGCACACTACGCTCCTGCCGGCTGGCAATTCTGCTTAACATCCGCACAAAACTCAACGGAAAGCCAAAACCCCATTATCCCGGATCCCTCTTTAAGACACCCTGCTTTTTTAAGGATCTATGAATCTGTGGGGCTTTCTTAAACGACTTCGAGTTTGTGTCCTGGAGTCGTCCAACTTGAATGCAAATGGAAACGAACACCGGGCAGGGTGGCCTTCTCAGGAAGCTCCTCTGGTGCTTCGGATGCCTTGGATTCGGCCTGCCACTGGTACCAGTCTCGACAAGAATCACTTCACGCAGCTGGTGGAGAGCCCTCCAGCGACCTCCAGCAACCCTCGTGGAGTAGAGATGGGCGGACGTGGTTGCCCATGCAAGCATGTTTTCAGTCCGACATGTTGCGCCAGTCAGGCACAACCCCCTGGTTGTACACCTGCGAGGGTGTTCCCGACTGCAGCTGCCATGCAGCAGAAGACATGCGCACCAAAGTTCTGTCTAGGGGCTCTTTCTCAGTTCGAGCCCACATGTTCAAGGGCAAACCGCTGACATAGCACCAAATCAAATGGGAGTTTCCGAAAGTAGGGGACCCTCATCTAGTACCCTAAATTGTAGGATCCTTCTTATAAGGACCCCAAAATAAGGTACCCCCTAATTTTCGGAAGCTCCCAAATCGGACCTCCGCAGGCTTTGTCTGCTGTGCCTCGGGTGCTTCGGCTTTTGCCTGGCAGCTTAGGGTTTAGGGGATCGGGGGTTTAGAATTTAGGGGTTTAGGGTTTAGGGGTTTAGGGGTTTAGGGTTTAGGGTTTAGGGTTTGGGGTTTAGGGGTTTAGGGGGTTAGGGGCTTAGGGGGTTGGGGTGTAGGGTATAGGGGTTTAGGGTTCCACAGTCTGGAACTACCCAGAGACTCCAATCAATATCCCTTAACTAAGGAATATTCCTTAAATTATAGTAGGTCCCTAGTATGATTTAAGGAATATTCCTGGTACTTCTCCCTGCGAAAATGCAAAGTAGTTCTCTGCAGGCAGGGAAGGGTGCTAAGTGTGCACGGCCCCCTGTGATGCCTCTAGGGTTTAGGGTTAAGGGTTTTGGGTTTCCTCGTACAGTGCTACTGCAACTCAATGGACTCCTGTTCGGGCAACAACGTCGGCCTTCTGCGTGTCTTCAAATAGCCAGCAGGACTCCACTTCCACACCCGAACACTAGTTCAACCTTGTGGCATCCTGCTAGACATGCCGCGAGCTGCATTGCTGCCACTTCCGAATCTTACACCAAGACACTCCCTACTGTACTCCAGGAACCTT